AGTCTGCTGGCACCTTAAAAACTAACAGATTTATTTGGGCATAAGCTTTCGTGGGTAAAAAGCCACTTCTTCAGATGCATGGACTGAAAATTACAGATGCAGGCATAAATATGAATATTTATTAAATATATGTTATATATATTTAAATATAATTTTAAATATGATTTATATTAATTATATATGTTAAATATATTAAATATTCATATTTATGTCCCATCTGTAATTTTCACTCCATGCATTTGAAGTGGGTTTTTTTACTCATGAAGCTTATGCCCAAATAAATCTGTTGGTCTTTAAGGTGCCACCAGACTCCTCGTTGTTTTTGTGGATACAGACTAACACAGCTATCCCTCTGATACTTGTTGTTATCTAAACCCTCCAAGCTGAAGTTTATAGGGGAATTCCTACCTTACCTATGAAGGTTAGAGATGCTCCATGGGTTTTCATTTCTTTCAAAAACAGAATATTGTGTGAGGTCTTGTCTACATGGAATATTAGTGCGCAGCAAGCCAGGGTGTGAATCTACAGTGGACTTATTTCAGCAACCTCCCATGTGGACTCTGCTCTAGCACACTGAAAGTTCATAGTGCGCTTTGATGTACTCCCATTTGAAATTGTGTATCTGTTTGTGTATCCCAAGTTTTAGCACATACAGAGCCTCAAATTTATGTGAATAGGGAGCATTTGTGCATGTTTTGTATGGGGGCCTGATCCTGATCTCACACCAGTTGAACTTCATTGGATTTGATGCTGTACTGTGCCCAATCTCGGTTCTGGCACAGTAGAGATAGGAAGATGTCAGGGAGCCAACCACAGCTCCATGATTCTTGATCACACAATCTGGTGTAAAGTAAAGGTGTGTGGCCGCAAGCTTAATGTATGCCACTTATATAAGGTTTCAGAGTAGCAGCCATGTTAGTCTGTATTCGCAAAAAGAAAAGGAGTACTTGTGGCACCTTAGAGACTAACAAATTTATTTGAGCATAAGCTTTCGTGAGCTACAGCTCACTCTGATGAAGTGATCTGTAGCTCACGAAAGCTTATGCTCAAATAAATTTATTAGTCCCTAAAGTGCCACAAGTACTCCTTTTCTTTTCACTTATATAAGGGCTCTGTAGGGACTTCACACCACTGGAAATTCAAGCATAACAGAACCTTTCTCACCCATGCCCTGCCCATGTCTGTCCCTCCCCTTATGCCAGGGGCAGGGTGGTTCCAATGTAAGGGAACTCGCTGGTGGGAATCTGCTGGTTTAAGATCACGTTTTACCAGGTAAGCATGAGCAGCACAAAGTAAACTTGGGAGAATCCAATCCCGTTGACTCCAGTTTACAGAGTTGTCAATGCAATTAGAATCAAGTCCTAGGTGTGTACTTGATTTCACATCCAAATGCCATGTGTGCATAGAGATTTGATCTTTTGCATGTTCAAAAAAAGTTGGGATACAAAACTACAGCCCAAATATTTGAGACCCCTTTGAGGCCCCTTTGCAAACCTGATGCGTAGCATACAGACCTGTAGATCCCTAGAGAGGCTTTTCTAAAGTGTTGAAAGTGCCTGCCATTTGCCTCTTGGGAGAGTCCCTCAGCACAGGAAATGCATTGCACAGAAATATGCAAATACAGAATGATCATCACAATGATAATCAAGAATGACAGCAAGTGATGTCGTTGTGTCATTAGTTCTCTGGCATCATCCCATTTAAAAAGAGGGTCATCCTTGATCCATAGAATGCTAATGAAGTGATATGTCAGCTTCCAAAGGAGACCTCGTAAGAATTCCGTATATGTTGTCAGCCTTGTTTAAACACATTATTAATCTCATTATTGCTCCTGCGCTGTCTCTATTCAGCAGTATTGTCCCTATTTGGGATTTGATGACTAAGAAAAGAATATGCAGGACTTGTATGTTTTCAGGGCAGTATTAAAAACTCCTGGGAGTTAATAGAAGTTTGTTGCTTGGATTTGTTTTTAATCTGTACAACTGACTTGCCAATTGCTGAAGGTAGATGAATTGAATCACTGGCAGGATTATTAATCAGTTGATTGTTAAGGGGAGGATGCTGAGGTCTGGAGCTGTTTTAAAAATTCATGCAAATGAGGAATGGATCTCAGATTTTGATCTTACACTGGTCTGCCACTCCACTGGGTCTGCTTCTCCACAGCCATGCACAGTGTGAAGCCATGGGGTTGCTCTCATTAGCTCCTGCAGATAACAGCTCCTAAAGAGCCACTCCATCAATGTCCTCCAGGGCTGTACCATTCCTACCCCAGCTAAGGATTGGTACAAAGAAACTTTGGGAAGGGCCCAGGATCCATCCTTGAATCTGCATTGTATTTCCACTCCTCCTGTCCCTAGAACAAATTCATCCACAGTGATCTAAAATGTCTGAGCACTACATCTGTGCTACCCCACGTGTACTAGAGATCCAAGACTTAATCACTCAACGGTAATAGTTGAGAGTATTTAACCATGTAGATTTTTTGGCCATTGCTATTTATTCTGACTATTGAAAAATAGTTCCTATGAAATGGATGGTGGTTGTGTTCTTGTGATGGGGGCAGGGGAGTGCGCACATGTACACGCTTGGTGTGAGTGTGGTGGAGCGTGTGTCTTATGCATCTTCTTAAATCTATTGGTTTTTTAATCCAGTATTTCATAGTTCAGCATGGTAGGAGGGTTTCCCTGTAAATGAACTAGCTCAAAGCCAGGTTTGTTTACATTTAGTGTTTATATCAAAAAAGCTCCCTGCTAGATGTCCCCAAAGTCCTCAGACCAGCTCTCTGCAAAATGGTGAGATCCTGGTGCACAGGAGAGAAGAGAATATAGGGGGAAATGGTTCGCACCTACAAAGTGATATGGCCAGCTCTGAAAAAGCTCACCCAATGTGTAGGTTAATTACAAATCCATAGTGAACTGATATTTCTTATACAGGGCTTGCCTTGATTAACTGACAGTCATGTTGTTACATAATCCAACTGCTGTACCACCATTTGAAATGGGCATAGGGATGCTGATCCTTCCTTTTACTGTAACTAGTTCCATGCAGATACTTGCCTATGAAAAAGATACTAAAATTAGTCTTGCATAACTAATCTAAGGAAGAAGAAAAACATGAGGTAGGTCAGGAAGTCCTCAGTCAAATACTGCTTAGGGCCCATTCACTGACGCTTGGTGATTGTTTAGTGTTCTGATTGCAAAACACCAGTTGTTTCTACTGCAAATAATGTAGGGCTCATTGGGATCAGTTGCTTTGTGAGACTTGGCCCAAGAGAGAAACAAGAGCTTTCAGATCTCTCTGGTGTACAGGAAGTGTGCCCAGTTGCACCTTTCATTCTGATGGTGCAGTCCTCTTGTACTTTTTGCCTATCCACATCTGCTGACCAGTACAGCGTGAGAGAAATAGTTACTCTTGGTTTTGTACTGCTCTAGCTGAGAGACAAACCTGGTCTCGTATTTACAGTACCCATTATCATGATTGCTTCACCACCACATTTTCCAGCCTATATAAAGTACCTCACTGCTTCCTTGGAGCCGCTCAGATGATCACAAGAGATAAAAAATAATAATGAGTCATAAACCGAGGGAATATCAAATAAACCTGGTTTAACAGATTGTGAACTAAATTAGTTTTGGTCAGTTGAAATCTGAGCTGAATTTGAATCAGAAATAACCCAGTGTGGGAATCGTTGGTATCCATTCGTACTCACCTGTATCACATGACATGTCTTCCTAGATTTATGGGTGGTGGGGTCTTTAAAAAAGGAAGATAGTGCTATGGGTTAATACAATAAAAGCTTCTTTCCTCTAGTTTTGAGATTCCAATCCGTCTTGTGTCACAATCAACATGGGCTAAACCTTAAGGTCCCAATTCAAAGCCATCTGAACTATACTAATTTCTGGCTTTCAGCTTCTTACTCAGTCCATTCTGTACACTCCTTTGCTAATCTCTGTGGATGAATTTTGATCCACTCGAGATACAATGTCATCCATCCAGCTCTTCTTTTTTTGCCAACTTTCCCTTCCAGTGGCCATAAACATCTGAACCTCTTAAAATGTGCCCTGCAAATTGACTCTTTCTGTTCATAAAATCTGACTGATACGTTCATTACATATAGCACTACTTTCATTTCTCACTGAATGACAACACCAAGAATCCAACCTTTTGGAGTCAGAAAAGGTTAATTCAAACCACATCCAAGGAAAGTAAAGAACAAGATTGGCATTTTCACTCGTAGGAAGATGAGTCTCCTAGGGGAAACAGGAGATTTGACATGATATGTGCTTAAATCTTTATCTCTACCCTCTGCGCACACACTGCTAAGAGAGCAAGAATTGGAATTGGAATTGGAATTCTGAGGAATTAAAATATGTAGATCCAGCTTGGTCTAAGTTTTAACTAATTTAAGTTACACAACAACTATCCTTTTATGCTGACTTTGCTCATCTTTGTCCAGTTCATCCTCCACTGTCAACGTCTCTGTTCTCACTCCTAACAACAAAGCCTTTCATTTTAAAGGATCCCAAAACACTTTACAATCAATTCTCCACTACTAAAATGCAGCCACTTTTGCGGTGGACCTCAGCAGCTATTTTTGTTGGGAGGCAGGGTAGCTTCGTGGATAGGGAATGGCTTGGAGCCAGGAGATCAGGGCTCTATTTACAACACTGTCGATGAATTGATAGATGACTTCAGGCAAGTCACTTCATCTCTCTGCTCCTCGACTTCTTCATTTGTAAAATGGGGATAATGCTACTTAATTTCTGTACTTTTTGTGGCTTATAAATAAAATGTGATAGCCCTTTTAAGTGCCAAGATTCCAAAAGGCGGCCCAGCAGGAAAGTCGCCCACACTGAGGCAAGTATGCAGACCTGACTTTTAATGTCACCCAAGACTTACAGTTACTAAAGTCAACAACTTTAAGAGGAGACTAAACAATACAGGATAAAGGTAAATGTTCTGCACTTAAGAACGTTTCTCCTCCCTTCCCTCAGCTGTGTCACACTCTGTATTATCACTGTCGTCAAAGGGGGTGTGTATAAGAACCTGAAAAACCAAACGAACCTGTCTGTGAGGAGTTCCATATATCACAGCACTGCAGGTGGCTTTATTTCCATAGTGCTGTGTGTTGCTGCAGGAAAGCCACCTCTTTCCCCTTGCTTCTGAGACCTCCTTTTGGACCTAAACATTGCGACGGGAATAAGCACCCATCTGCACGTAAGCTCAGTTTGTTTATTGATGTCAATATTTGTAAAACAGATTTCCAGCTGCCAAAGCAGCGTGTGTGCTGTGCTGATTTATCAGTCACCTCCCTGATGCCATTCGTGTTTGGGCTTCAAACCACTTGTTCTGACCAATCCATTTAATTTCAATTTAATAGATTATTGATTGAGACATGCTTGTCTCCTACCCAGCAATTGAACCTCAACAAATATGTTTTAACAACTGACTAATCCAGACCTGTCTGGAAATTAATTGCTTCTTGCAGCCCTGCATCAGCTGGAGCAAAACTAACATTGAAAAGATCTCCTGTTTAAACAAGTGACTGCCCCTTCCCTTTTTTCCTTAAGAGTACATGGAAGCAGATATAGCATGTGTTTATAAACAATACCAGGGATAATGCTGCAAAATTATTTGACATGACTTAAATCAATAATATTCTGTTTGCCTAGAATATTTGAAAATAAATTAATCCTCCTAGTGACTTTGAGAATTAATATATTTAGCTGTAAAATATATAGTTGTATATGGGACTGATGGTATAAAAATGTAGAGGTACCTCTCTAAAATGGGAATTTCTCATTTGTAAATTAGGTTTGTCATCTATTATGGTATATTGCTAAGCCCTTTTGTGGTAGCAACCTTGTCACTATAGCTGCAAGCCAAGTATCAAACTTCTAGAATTTTGTAGTTTGGAGAAATAAGATCTGTTCAAACCAAGCCTTACAGATCAGATGTATGTTCAGATCTGAACTTCTCCATAATCTGATGGGTTTGGTTCTGGATCAGGCCCATCTTCACTTCTAACGTGGTGGTGTTACCCTAAAATGTATCTTTTCAGCCTGGGAAAATCCTCATGAAAACTTCTTAGTCATGTCATGAAATCTATTCACCCACCATAATGATAATGAGGCTGTAAAAACTATAAAAATATTTTACTTGCCTAGCAAAAACTTACTCCAGGTAAAGGGATGATTAGATCCCTTCAAGGCTAACACATTCCCTTATGTAAATAGTGACACATTTCCAAATGTTAGCACTAAACATATATAGTTTTTAAAAAATCAAACTGCAAAATTATGTGCACTACAAAGAGGATGTATTTCCTCTGCCCCCACTGATTATATCTATTTCTAGTAAAAAGTACTTTTAGAAACAGCATTGAAACTTGCAAGTGGTTTTTGTTTGTTTTGTTTTTTGTTGTCCTGCCACCTCTTGGCTGTTGACAGGGACAAAGGGTGTAATACTGTCTCTGTTGAAGTCAATGGAAAAATTCCTTTTGACTTCAATAGTGCCCAGATTTCACCCAAAACATTTTCCCGTGTGGGAAGCAATAATTCACTCTTGTACAGGAATCAGGCAGGAGGTGGTCCCAGACATCTGCATTTTCCAACAGCTTATACAGTATGTTGGATCGATATGCTTCCATTACCATAGGAGACATCAGACTTGCTTCTACCTGAAATGGGATACACTTATTAGTGTATTTTTTGCTTATTTTGCTCATGCCGGTGTATGTTTGCCAATGGCTGCTCCATTTAGAAGCTTAAGTATCACGATTATTGCTGTAATACACATGGTTAAACTGACTGCAAAATACAGTGCTAGGAAGGACTTGTGCATCGTAGCAGGGTCAGTCGGGGGGGAGGATTCCCCTTCTATGGGGCACTGAACAGGGATTATCTGTTAATGTGGGATATGCTTACATGGTCCTATCAGTGTTCTATGATGGAAGAAGAATTGGGGGCATTGGTGTCTTAGTTCTTCCTGTTTTCTTCTCCATTTCTCTATGAAGTCTCTATCTCAGTACTAAACTCTGTTTCTGTGTGGTTGGCACACTATGTCTAACCTGCCATAACCCCTGCAATATTAATCTTCCATGATCTGATGTAAATACAGTAGTTTAATTGCTTTGATTGCAGAAGAACTAGGGAAGGATTTTGTGTGATGTTAGATCCTGCATCATCCAGGAAGTAATAAACATGTCATTGCTCTGCCCTTCTAACCTGTGTCTGAACAAGTGTAGTATAGGGCACCTATTTCTGTGTATGGCAGCCTACTACTGGTGGAGAAAGAACTTAACTTACTCATAGTACAATCTAATCTTAAATACTATGGGTCTCCTTATTTTTATTTATTTATTATTGAGCCGTGGCATTACTAGCTCTGCTCCTATAAAATCCTGAAATGTCTGAATTGCATTAGTACTGTAGTACGATATTTTATTTTTAATTGTGGTGTTCATTAGCAAAATACATTTGTACGTGTAACAGCAGCATCACACTAGGTCCACTAGAAACAATGTGGCAATATAACAGCTCAAGTGATCCACAGTGTTCGAATGTTCATGTGTTCCATTCACATCAGAACAGTACATTGGGTCCGTGTTGTTTCTGGAATATGTCCCGATCTTCAGTATGAAAGAGAATATGAGGGGCATCCTAAATGTTCCCACTCTCTTGGTCTGCTCCCATTTCATCCAGGTCAAGATTATGGCTCTCCCTCAATTCCACTAGAGAAAGAAGGGAGAGTTTTCAGAGCATGCTAAGTAAACAAACCTCCTACCTTCCAGGCCAAGATGCTGATGAGATGCTAGAGCATTACAACCATCTAACCACAGTCATCAATGCCTTGACCCCCACCTCCATTCTGCACAAAGATTACAGTGGTTCACTAATGAACTATGTCAAATGGAGCAGATGGCCAATACTGCAATACAACTGTCACAGCGTGGATCTGGGTCCCTATGCCTATTTTTTATTTTTTGCATTATACTAAATGTTATCCTTTAAGACTATATATGATCATGTTAGCTTACTCAGATTTCTGTCTGCTAGGAATGACCAGATCTGGAGTTAGTTATGGAAGGCAGAAGAAACTAAAGTTTGAAGAGATAAGAGCCAAGAGACAATTGTGTCAAATCTGTGTCAATTTATTTTGCACTTGTATATTCACTGAAGCACATCCATGGAGCTATTACTAGACATTGGAACAGTGACAGTCTCATTCTCTTGCAAATGGAAAAGCAGAACTGAGCCACAATGATTTTCATTCCATTTCATTGCTTTTTTCCAGACCACTAAAACTGAATCAATAACAGTCAAAGTTCACACGGGAGCTCAAGGTTGGGGTCTCCCAAGCCTTACCTAAGGAAAACTGTGTGTGTGTGCATTTGCCCATCTGTCCTCTGGAATGGTCCTCCTGAATCCCTCTACTTCATGGACTATGTCTCATTTCAAATCTCATCTGAAAATGTAGCTTTTCTCCCTTGCCTTGATCTCTTAATTTCTCTCTCCATTTATTGTTTCACAATAGAATTGTATTATTTTCAATTATTCCGTAGACCAGTTTGAGATGAAAGTGTCACACAGTGAAGTTTTCTATTATTATTAAACAAGTTTCTGCTTGAATTCCAGCTGTGACTATGCTCGAGAAACAAACTGAACTCCAGTTTGTGATTGATTTTCAGATACTGCACATTGTCCATAAACCATGGACTGTCTGATGTCTGCACTTGTATCTGATTAACACTGTAAGTGCCTTAAGTCCAGGACTATGTTTTGACAATTTGTTTGTCAAGGGACTTGTTCGATAAATGAAAAAATGATCTCAATAACTAATGATACTAACCCTGACCATATGTCTGTGTATTGTACTATAGGTCTGTTCTTCCCTTGGCTTTTACACATTTGCCACCTGTATACACACAAGAATCTATGGGAAAACTTCATACCACCCGCATCCATGTTGAGTCGTAAATCTGCTTGCAGATCCTTTTAAACTGATAATGTTCTTGTTGAGCTCACTAACCCCTTCACTGCTGCTTTAAGTGGATGTAGCATAGATCCAAGGGTACTTTTCACAGGTACATGCCATTCCACATTAAAGCAGTTATGGATGTGCCCTTATGACTCAGGTCATTGACATTTTCTTGCCATGCTTTGACTATTATCTTAATATTTTAGGGGGATGTTGGACTCGGTCACTCACAGCACCTTTCTGCCAAACACAATGATCTGCGAGCCCCTGATGTCTTGGACAGAATTGTTTGGGACAACTGAGGACTATTATCCCATCTTTGATCATCAGACAGGTGTGTACATAGGCTCAGTTTGAAAAGATGTGTTCAATTAATATGTGCCCGAAAGGGGACTGAATTTACCGGTATTCCAATCGGCTCTGATGGGAAATGGCCTGGGCATGTGTTGCTCACTGCTGAGCCTATTGCCACGTTTATCTCTAATTCAAGCATTACTGCTCTGTTCAGGCACATAAGCTGATGGTGTGGAAGACAGGCATATGGATAGCAACAATAATAGTTTGCACTTCTATAGTACCTTTCAGCGAAGAATCATATATCTACAAGAGACTTGTGTTGCTTATGTCACTGTAGTGCATGGAGCCCTCATAAACATTTAATGGATTCCTCATCACAACATCCCTGTGGAATAGGGAAGCATTCTCCCTATTTTGTAGATGGAAAAGTGAGTCAGAGAAATCAAGTGATTTACTCAAGATCACTCAGCAAGTCTGTGGCAGACCCAGAAATTGAACCTAGATCTCTTGAATCTCACCCAGTGACCCCAAAAGAATTCCAGTGCTTTTCAGCTATTAATTAATTAAGTTTCTCAATTGAGCATTATCATCTTCATTTTGCAAGAAGGCAAACTGAGACCCACAACATTTCAGTGATAGTCCCCCTAGGTTACAGAGGGAATCAAAAGCAGAGTCAGGAATAGATCCCAGTATGCCTGGCTCCCAATCTTTTGCTCTGTCCACTTGAAACACAGCACTTGTTTTGAAGTCCCTTTGCCTAACAATGAATGTTATCCGTACTATGGAATAGTAATTTAGTTTGATGGAGTGACATCTCTTTGAATTTTCTGCAACTTTGTATACATTTATTATCCATAGTAGCAATGACCAGTTAAATACATAGTTAACATGTGAGGTTTGGGATTTTAAAAACCAACACACATCTGTGGATTGTAGTAATACATCAATATTAACTCAATAATGCCCCCATTGGATTAGTTGCTGATAACTCCTGAATGTTTAGTGTACAATTTCCCCCCAGTGTCCTTATGGAGATCCTACACTTCACCAGGCCACAAGACTCATCTGGGGAGTATAGTTAGTTTTAAGGAATTCACTCCAAATGGCATGCTTCCAGACCAGATCCCTGCTATAGAGGTTCAGTTAGCATTTCCCATTAGAAATTCTTTTCCTTCCATAAGAATTTGATTCAGTTCCTGAATGGCTGGAATTTTTTTTCCCCTCTCCTCCCTCAGGCTAAATCATTGAATATATTCAGGCTCTGAAAGAAAATAAAGCATAATCTCACTGATGTTACTGAGCCAGGCCTGTGGTGAAACTTGGATCTGACAGGTTTTCGTGCAATATTTTCCCCCCATAAATCTGTTTTTATGCCTTCAAATTACAAAGTTGGTGCTCTTACAGAACAGACCTTGTCCCCTCATGAGACAGTTTAAGTATTGGAGAACAGCACGTTTCAAAGAGTTTAAACCATGAAAGTTTATGATCATCATGGACTTCATGCTTGTTTCTGTGCTGCAAATCTTGGCCATTCAAAATTTTCCATGTGATTTGAAATAGAATCTGCTCCAAAGGGGCACAGGTCCCTAACGCTTCAGCTAAAGAAGAATCTCAAGTGCTGTGCAGGAACTAGAAGTTCTTGTTTGTGGGAAATTCTCTGATTTTGAAATTTGTTTTCATTTGGAATCAAAGCAAAAACAAAGAATTTCTTAGTTTCCTGTGAAACAAAATCTTGGGGGAAAGGGGGTGACTCATTTCAGGTAAATCAATGTTTTGTTTCAGCTTTGACTTTTTAAATTTTATCTTATCTTATAAATGTCAACCTTATCAAGATATCTTTCAGTTTTTTTCTAAACAAAATTTTGGAATGTGTCAATTTCAATGAATCTTTGTATTTCCCAATGGAAAATCATTCCATTGGAAAATTTTCTACCCATGTAGTTGTGCAGTTCAGACTCCATCTAGTTAAAGGTCAGTATTGCACATAGACACTGCAAGAACATTAGACTGTCTACTGTAAAGTAATTGAAATGTTTCATAAGCTTACATCAATTCCACTTTGTGCTGTGATTCTACCTGAGATTGCATACTAAAATGGGTTGGGCAGGGTATGTACTTGGCCTTCATTTGACCCTGTCTGCAGCTGCATCTCCCCTTCCACTTTTCTCCCTAGGATTGCTCAGTGTTGGATGCTTTGACACATTTCTAGCATCCTTTAGGGCTGCAATAACTTTTCCCGTGAGCTGATTTAAAACATTCTTATAGAACCAACTACATTGTTTTCACTTTTTTTCCCTTCCCCAGTAGCCCAGGAATAAATTTCACGCATATTTATATTATATCAGTGCTAGCAATGCTATACAAGTAGACTTAGGATCGAAAAGGAAGACAAATACTTCATTGATCTGAAGCATGAGAGGCATTTAGGCCAACACAGTAAGGTTTTCCCCAGACTGTAATCTGGCCAAGATAAGAGTCAAGATACTTATACTTCTTGGAAAAAAGTACCATAGGACTTCGAATACGCAAGTGTGAGCTGAGTTCCTCCTCACATAAAATAGTGGAGAAGACTTGACAAAACTGCAGGAGCCTGTAATGAGACAGGCAGAATTTCTGAGATGACTGAGTGCAAAGTGCAGCTCTGGTCTCATCACAGTTAGAACCATGCTAGGGATAAACCACCTGTATTTACACAGAATTATGTCTTGTAAGATTCTAGCTCACTTTCTCTTACAGCGTGGAACTGGTCTATGGAAAAGGGCTATAGAATTGATCTACTGTACGGACAAACATGTTATATGTAATCAGGCTCTGCTACATTCATCTGATGTCGATAAAGCAGCGTTTTTCCCTGCACTAACATGTATATCTTGTTGGTTTGTCAGTACAGCTGTGCCTGAACCAGTGCATTCTGGGAAAATCTGAACAGGTATCCCATACTGCCTTGAGTACAGAGCACGGTTATAGAAGTCAGTGGTAAAAATCCCTGTGCCTGCTTGAGTCCTATCTACACTAAGTCTTTGATCCTTGTTACCACAACTCCGGAAAGGTCCAAGTCATGGTTGGAACTCTGTGGCTCCCACTTATCTCTGCTTTCAACTTCCCCTCTCCCCTAGAGACCTGTAGTCATAGGTGCTGAAACTAGGGCTGCATCAGGGGGCTGCAGCACCCCCTGGCTTGAAGTGGTTTCCATTATATATGGGGTTTACTGTTTGGTTCAAAGGTTCTCAACACCTCTACTATAAAAATTGTTCCAGCCCCCCTCTAGTTCTAGGCACACTTCTAAAATGTTTCTGTGCTGGCTGCTGAGTGATTTATTTGCTCCCCCCACCTTATCTCACCCGGATACTTTTCACTTAGAATTTCACTACACAGCAAGGAAAACGTATCTGGTCCTTTCTCTCCCACTCAAAGGAAATGTGTACATCTCCTGTGGAGGCTCTGTCCTATTGCTGATCTTTCTTCCAGAAGAGTATTCCAAATTGCATAATCTTTTGTTACAATGCATACCCCAACAGAAGAGAGAGCTACTCAGGAGCTAAACTTCAGTGTAAGGAGTAAAGGAAGAGCGCTTTTGAAAATGCCAGACCTTCATGTCAACACCTTCTGAGTGCCCGTGACATATGTCAGCACTTTTTGGGGCCTTAGAATATTTTCTGACTTCCAAAAAGAATCCTATCTTTTTAGAAGCCAATAGAGAAGCTAATCCTGACAAGAACTGTTCCATGAAAGGAACACGCTATGGCCTTTATATTGCCAGCAAAGCTGATATTTATCACGGTCAAGTCAAATCAAAATTTCAGAACCAGTTGCTTAAGTATTTCAAAGTTACTTACTGTATTTTTTAACTGGAACAGTTAAGAGGAACAGTTGCTTTTATTTCATGTTACCCTAAGGCAGGGATCGTCACACAGCCCACCAGGGTAAGCCCCCTGGCGGGGCGGGCTGGTTTGTTTACCTGCCGTGTCCGCAGGTTTGGCCGACTGCAGCTCCCACTTGCCGCGGTTTGCCTCTCCAGGCCAATGGGGGCCGTGGGAAGCAGCGGCCAGCACATCCCTCGGCCCGCACCGCTTCCCGCAGCCCCCATTGGCCTGGAGCGGCGAACCGCGGCAAGTGGGAGCTGCGATCGGCCGACCTGCTGACACGGCAGGTAAACAAACCAGCCCGCCCCACCAGGGGGCTTATCCTGGCGAGCCGCGGGCCAAAGGTTGCTGATCCCTGCCCTAAGGGAATTAAAAATAGATATACCAAAGGAGCAAACTTCATTTAACTCTTCAACACATCGGAAGGAAGTTGTGGCCTTGACCCTCACCCCATCTCCTACATAAGCAGAAAAAAATCCAAACAGCTCAAGGATCCCAAAGGTTCAAACAAGACAACACCAAAAATATAGGGCTGGATTCATGCCTTGGTGCCTCCACCTGATTTGGGAATAAGGTAGGCTACCCTTTTCCCATTCTGCCAGGAGGCCTGGAGCCAGCCCTCACAGTCCCCAACACTGTTTCTATGCCTCTTCTGGCTAGCCTCCAGAGACAGGGTTCCGGTGAAGCACAGCTGACTTTCAAGCTGCCCTTCTCCAGCAAAGCTTCTGCCCTTCTTCAGCAAAGCTGCCCTTCTCCAGCAAAAGGCCTGAGGGGGGATGGTGGCTGTACAACTACTTCTCTCCCACCACGACTCAATCATCCTCTGGCACAGCTATACACACAGTTCCAGGGCCTATAGAATCTGATCCAGTGTCCACCTGTAGGCCACAGCTGACTTCTTTCTTTATAAAGGACCAAACAAAATCTCAGATTCAAATATCCTCAAAGGTTTGAGAGTCCAAAACTCAGATCCAAAGTTTGCGTCTTTTGCCCACATCTCCTCCTTTCTAGACTGCCTCCCTTGGATGGGATGATAGATCCTCATGGGGTCTATGACACTGAAGAATACGTTCAGCATTATTTTAATTCTATATGCACAAATAAATGGAGATATTTACAGTACATGAAAGAACACACTTGTCCTGTAAGTTTTAAAACTTAATGAAAAAGATCTTAGTTATATTATAGAAATCCATTTAGCATGCAAGATCCGTGTTTCAGACATTGTCACAATTTTGAACCATTCCATTAATTTCATTGGGGCAATTAAGTCTAAAACAACAGCAGCATTTACACCCTGAAGTAAACTGCCTGGCGAGGCTGATGACAAAAAAAATTACAGTTCATATTGTTTGCATGCACTGCCATCTGATTGTATATTGCATATATTTTTCATACAAACGGTGTCCCAAAACTAAATGTATGGGGTTAAAAATGTAATCTGAACATGAAATAATAAATCCTGGCTGATTGATTGGAAAGAAGAATTAGGAAATCTAAAATGAGACAAAAGATGCTTTCAGATGAGATGTGAACAGAAAGGAAACAGTATCAATCTAATCTAACTACTTTCCTAGATAAGTATAATATTTTCATCCCTATGGTAGTTACGTGCCTTTCCCTGGCTATTTACTGTCATGTGTTTGCTCAGTCATGATTAGTAGAGAGCCAGAGCCTCAGATGGTTTAAATTGGCATAGCTCTTTTAAAATGAATAGAGCAATAGTCTCAAAGGCTGATATTTCTGTCACTGGCCCAGAATCTCTCCTGAGGCAAATCATTACTTTTCCTCAAGGACTCCAGTATAACAAACAGAATCTGTCTGAGTATAACTAAAATAGTTTGTCCAGCGAGTTAATAGAAATAATGAGTCTAGGAGGCAGAATTTTGTTTCGATTTTTCACAGGCTTTAGTAAAATGCATCCAAAGCTAAAGGACATTCTAGCAGTTGCTCCATACAGGCTGCACCTGCACAGATATCCAGTGGGAGCTGCTTGCAAGATGAAGGCCTTTTCCATGTACGTTTCCCTCTAGTATCTGGTTTGCAGGTACAAAGCCTCCTATTACAGTTAGCTACAGATGTTCTCTGTTAGCTCAAGTGGTAGAGATCTGTGTTTACATCTAAAGATACAGTATTCAAATCCCAGCTCCCCTGTATATGTGATCTATATAGTAATAATGTCTGTTGACTACAGCGTGTGCCTTTGTTACACTGCTCCTACTTTCAGCATCAGAACTAGTTTTTAAAAAAAACTACTCTACAAACAAATCACAGAAAAAATAATGTTCAGGTTTTATGATAAAATAATAGCAACAAGATTTTCTCACTAACTCTTTTGCTGATTGAGAAACTTTTTCACATTTGTTGAAAAAATGTTGACACTTTTGACTGAAATATTTTTAGACTAAAATTTGCCTACCCGTTCAACTAGCATGTGAGCTGTAGCTCACGAAAGCTCATGCTCAAATAAATTGGTTAGTCTCTAAGGTGCCACAAGTACTCCTTTTCTTTTTGCGAATACAGACTAACACGGCTGTTCCTCTGAAACCTCTCTTTCCTTTATCTGTCAGAGATGCTTCCCTAAAAAGAACTTTGCCGGGAACTACACATTGGACCATCTAGTGGCAGTCTCTAATATAACAAGTTAAAAAAAGGTTCACAAAACCCTAACACTTACTATGTACTTCAGGATGAATTGCGTGATGATAACTTGCTGGGTATAGCTGTGAAAACAAGCATTTCCCTTAGTAATAAACTTACAATATTTACCTACTTGCCAGGGGTATTGTTAGGTTTCTTTAAGGCTTGTAGCGTGCTTTGAGACATCTCTCAAGTGACTCAGCCTCTCATTATGAGAAACATTGCTCATTTTTATTGCAAAATGTACTATGCACCAGAGAAATTTGGTGTCCCTTCACTTTTTTTGTTGACAATTTATTTACATCAGAAGGAAATAACCATGAAATTTAGGCGAGAAAGAGAGTTATTCATGCTAAAGGATTTGATCCCACAGTATTTTAATTATCCTGCATTGATATTTTTTGTGCCTCTCACTTTGGGTCAGTGTTTCATCTTGTGTATCACACTTGGGGTGTGATAGATTGAGAGGAATGTGCTTTTGAGATCCTCCTATAATAATGTTCTACATAATAATTAATAATAATACCTTAGGTGCAAAAGGCTGTAATACTAGGCATCAAAACATAAGTAGACAATATTAAAAGGAATAATTGAGGAAGCTTGTGGTTTTACTAGAATAAGGTACAGGAACGACTCTTGTTTGGAACATGCTTTTTGGAAAGAATTTCAGAATGTAAGTATTTCAGCTTCATTTCTCTCTCCTGCTGAATCTCTTGCAGTCGGCGATTCTTGCTGGACATCTATTCACCCGGAATACTGGAGTAAACACAATGTCTGTGAGTGGCTGCAGTTTTGCTGTGACCAATACAAGTTAGACGCCAACTGCATCTCCTTTTCTCACTTTAATATTAATGGCTTACAGCTGTGTAACATGACCCAGGAGGAGTTCACAGATGCTGCCGGCGTTTGTGGCGAATACCTTTATTTCATCTTACAGAACATCAGGATACATGGTTAGTGTTTCAGAGATTGAATGCAAAACAAAAAATGCTTCAAATTTTGTGTGAACTTTATGCTAGTGGAAGGTGCTTGCCTGACAGCCCTGGGACTAAAGTCCCTTATTTATTCACAGAAGAGGCAAAGCACATCTGGTGTCTAGATACTACAATGATCAGCAGATTAGAAATGCAACAGATAGAAGATAGCATAGGCAACAAGGTTACTGGCTTCCCAACTGTGCCCCCTCAATGTCACTCAAGCCTGACTTGACAGGTTCAGCTGTAGGAGTAAGACCATAGTTCATACTCCATGGCCCCTTCAGTTCTTGGCTTCTCCACTGAGACTGTCCTGGATGCAAAATGTGGTGTTTTAGCTCAGGTAGAACTGGACTGAGCCCACCAAACTGGACTAAGGCCATTTAACATAGACCAACACAATATACTGCTACTGTGTTCCTCTCAAAACATCAGAGGTTGCACTGTTTATCTGATGGTGGGCATGATGTTTTGTTTGGCACATGCTATCAGTATAATGTATAATACAAATATGAGACCCTCATTAATATACTTGCCATTATTCTCAAATATAATCAATTTTCTTTACTGATTTTCCACCTCATTTTTTGCTTCCTAAAAGATTAAAAGATTTATTGCTGCTTAAGTGAATTTAGGCTCATAAACTTCTAAACTATTGCCTGCCTGGCATAATTGAAGGAAAGTGAAATTTCTTCTACAGCTAGCCTTTATTTTAGATTCCAGGAGATTAATAGGATGGTTCTGTAGGGTTCAGTTCTGATGATAATTTAGACGGCTGACTTTTCGTTGACCAGGACAGGGAGACTTAGCAAGTCTACTCCAGTGCCACACTATTTTTCCCATCTCCAGATGGATTATACATTGTTGGGTAATTATTTATAGAGCTAGACCCAATCCTGCAATGCATTCCAGCTGCTTTGTGCCTCTCAGTGATTCAAGGCTTTCCTAAAGCTGGCTTACCTGGCTACTTCGGGATTCTCCTGGTCTAGGAGAATTGTTGAGTGGTGTCGAGTTGTCATAGGGCTGCTGGCAACTGATGTAGTAGGTATGTCCATGGCAAAAAGGGGCATGGCCTAAGCATCCCTCCACTCTAGCAATACCTGGCTGCTAGAACAGCCCCTGGAGGGCCATGAGTGACTGACAGTGCAGGCCTTTCCTTGCACTTGCTCCTTACTGTTGGGAGCCACTGTGGCTCCAGGCCCAGGAACTGAGAGCAGGTAGTGCGTGCCATGTTCCCCACATTCACATCCCAGAGGAGAAGGGAAAACAGCTTGACTCCAATGCAGATAGGTGGTGAGCAGACGGAGGACAGGGCGCACAAGGAATGGGCTAGGAGCAGAGGACAGGGACAGGTTGGGGGCAATACACATGAGGGGGACACGGACAGGCTGAGGGGGAGAAGAAGAATTGGGGATGAGTTGGTGAAGGGACATGCTAGGAGTTGATGCTCTGAGGATGAATCAGGGTTGTGCAGTAAATGAGGCTGCTGTCCACAGGAACCCTGTCATACTGGTTGCAGAAGTTAGAATGTGGGTGGTGAATGAGACGGGACTGCAGGAGAAAAAATGGTCTTGTGTTTTTAGGCAGTCGACTGCTGCTCTGGAATATTGGCTTTTATCCCTGCCTCTGCCATAGAATTCCTATGTGCTGCTGGGCAAGTCACTTGAGAGGAGACTTTCAAAAGCACCTAAAGGATTTAGGAATACACATCCCATTGAGCACCACAGGAAAACCCATGATGAAATTAACAGTTCTGTACAAAGTGCAGGTGTTGAACTAAGTTCCCTCTAAACTGTGCGGCTGCACAGCAACCTATTAAGCGCCACAAGAGGCGCTCAGGGCTGCAGCAGGGAGAGATTCCTCTCCCACAGAACCAGACCAGCCATGGGCCTGCCGTGGCCAGGGGAGAGGCATCTCTCCCACAGCCCCAACCCAGCCCGGGCCGGACTTGCTGCGCAGGGCCTTGTTCAGCCGAAACGCACGCTTCCAAGCCCCGCTCTTGCCGAGGCTCTGACACAGCAGCAGCAGTGCGACTCAAACGCACCGTGCATGAAACAGGAGGCGTGGCGCTTTGCCATTATGCCCTGCGCAGCAGCTAAGCATGCTCCCCCGGCTCACCCAGACAACAGCCAGGGAGTCTCCTAATGCGGAGCGAGCGCTGGGCGCACTCTGGGCCGCAGCGCGTTGGGGCCGGGGGAAGGGTGCCTCTCCCACAGCCGGTCTGGCCCAGGCTGGGTTGGGGCCATGGGAGAGGCACCCCTCCCACCTAGCCTAGGTACTGCTGCAGGGAGAGAGAGTTGGGGGGAGTCCTCTCTTCCCATCGCAGCCGAGGCAGCCTGCACACCAAACCCCTCATCCCCGGCCCCACCCCAGAGCCCGCACCCCCAGCCGGAGCCCTCACCCCCTCCCTCCACACCCCAACCCTCTGCCCCAGCCCTGAGCCCCCTCATCCCCAGCAGCACCCCAGAACCCTTACCCCGAGCCGGAGCCCTTACCCCCCACCCCAACCCTCTGCCCCAGCCCTGAGCCCCCTCCCACACTCTGAACCCCTCAGCCCCAACCCCACCACATGAATTTTGTTATGTGCACCTATATGGAGGCATGTGTCACCCATCACCTCCATATTGGTGCACATAACAAAATTCATTCCACACATGGGTGGGAAAAATTAGAGGGAACACTGGTGTTGAATGGTGTGCAGTAAATAAGGCCTGTGATGAAAAATGATGAGAAATACCTAAATAGCTGCTTATTCAGTGTGCATCATCCATCCTGTGCACTGAATTAGGTTGGGGTCCTATAGAAAAAAACCCATATGTGATTATGCAATTAAAGGCCTTATCATAATGCATATGCACAAAGAGGGCAAATTATGGTTATACAGGCAACCTTAACTTTGGCATTGCCTAAACTGAGTGCCGGATTTTGCAACCTGAATTTTCTTTCACTGAAGGGGTCTTTGGTATGTAATATGTTTATTTAATAGTCTGAGCACTCTTGCTGCTGTACAGAGATGCTGCTGCGCTATGGAGTTTGCTACAATAGAGGATCTCTGCTTGAAGTAGTGGAGGGAGAAGTGAAGAAATGGGCTTTTAAGGAGAGATCTGATGAAGGAAGAGGGACTAATCAAAGTGTACAGGACAATAAGGAAAATGGCAAAAGTGAGAGCTGGAGAAAGATACAAAAGGATCAGGTAGACAGGAAGCATGGCACAAGCCAAAAAGAGCACATCAGGGCCATTAAGAGGTAATGAGAGCAGAGAAGCATGCTGAAGTAGGTGATACCTTGTCTTCGCCTTGAAGACAAGGATGAGGAGGTTGACCTTGATATGGGAAGTAAGAGGAAGCCAGTGAAGGGATCTGAAGATAGTTGTGACAAGGTCAGAGAAGTGGGCTGGAAAGCTGATCTTTAGCAGCAGGCTTTGCATAGACAGGAGACTAATCTTCCTTGTTGCAATTTATATGTTTCTATATTCTCTATTGTGAGTTTATATCCAGACATTCTAATATAGTGGGGAAAGGGCTCTAGCTGTGCCTTAAGGTTCAACGTAAAGTCATTCTGCACAGTGGGTGACGAGAGAATTGAACACTGGATTGCATGTTTTCCTCCCCACAGGCATTTCCTTTTTTAATGACATTGAAGAAACCAAGCCACCTATCAAAGATTGTAAGTAACCTTGTTTTGTACATGCAAAGCTCTATTCACTAGGAAAGATGCGGTGTGTTCTATGATTAGCAATACTTCCAGAGGCAGCAGTTCAAGGGATTTTTACAAGTGAGAAAATACTCCAAAAATTGTCTCCACTTGAATGCTTTAAATGAAAGACTCTTGTGGTGGGTAGGGAAAGACTGATGAGGTTCCCAACATTGGCTCCTTTTTCCCCTTTCCACTAAGGACCTAGCGCTATCACTGAGGCAGAGTCCCTGGGTATGCCTGGGCTTACTCGTGTTCTGCCTGGCTATAGGCAGTGTGGAAAACCCTCTGACACAGGATCACATGTTTCAAGGCAGTACAGAGTGCACTGAACAAATGACCAGAGGTGCCAAAATGTCACTCCAGGAAGTGGGTAGGGAAGCACACTGGTGCATTGTCCTGCCATCACGTGGTGATGGTGATGTGGCATTGTCTCGTATGTAATTCTAGTTAATGCCATTTGGGCTGGCAGGAGGATCTCAATTCCAGAATTTCAGCACGAAAAGAATGAGTCTCTTTTTCAACTCAAGACTAAGAACTCTCACAAGAGGCTGCAGCAAACTCAGAAACCCCGGGGGATCAGCCCTTCAAAAGGAACATCTAACACACACACACACACACACACACTGAAGAGTGGGTTGCACAATAATGCAAAGTTCTGACCCCAGGCATCATAAAATGTTTCCCACCTTGATTATTTTGTAGCTCTCTGCTACTCCATTCAGGGAAGTGGCTTTCCAGGTTTTCTTTGTTTTAGTACCACTGCTACAGAGAGAGAGCCCCAATACTCATCTTGAAGAATTGTTATCCGTGTGCAAGGCAGGACAGATCTGCTGATTTGTAGAAGTTGCAGAACTAGTAGTGTTAATCAGCCTTTGAGATTCCTCCTTCAGTCCCCTCTTCTGACCAGCTCTGCTTATGTCACAGCAATATCATGACAGGCCCCCTTTCTCTAATTGGGTGATATGGCTTGCATCCCTGCAGTGTTGTTGCCAAATCTCACATTCCTCTATTGCTGTAGCACTTTGGCCATATGAACCCTCAACCACAGTGTAGGCTGAGTGCTAAGCCAGGAGAGTCCCAGGTTTCACATCACAGATGTATATGCAGTTGTTGAAGACAGTCCTAAATTCCCTAAAACCAAATTATCCAGACATACTTTAGATGATATGTAAAATGGTTTCATTCTTTTTTTTTTCTTTGTGGTGCTTGTCTCTGTCAAATTGTTCCACTGCAAGTTAATTATTCATTTTGGTTTATCTTTATGATAAAGCTGTTTATTTTTTATTAAAAGATAACTTTAACAACAGATCACATCCCCAGTTTGACTCAATGTTGCATGACATTTGAGTAGGTGAACACATTGCCCTTTTGACCACATTATCACCAGATTCTAATTCCTCCTCCTTCACGTGTCATGTTATTTTGTAATTCTGTTCCAGACAATGATAAGGCATGCCTGAGAACAGGGGGCACGAAGAGTCAAGAATGTCACAGCCGTGGTAGAACAAGTAGGTATATATTTGCAATGCAGAACTTGTGCTTGAAAGATTACGAGATGTATAAAGCCCTGGTTTTAAATGCTTGTCACAGAGGGGTGAATCACTTAGCGATACCCCAGATAAGCAAAACATAAAGTGGTGGTTGGTACAGTGTTGCCATCTCTCACAATTGTAGCATGAGTCTCGTTACATGGGTGCTTGCCTGGAATCAAAAGAATCTCAGCTTTCATTTTATTAAAAAAGTGAGCTTCTAGCCTTCAGAGTTGTGGAGAGAAGCTGGAAAACGAAAACTGAGTGTAACCTAAAGGCTCAAAATCCAGGAGGCAAATAAACAAACCCAAATGAATTTATTTAAAAAAAAAAAACCTCAGGATTTTTTTGAAGCCACTCATGATTTTGGAAGGCCTGGCTGAAGACTTCTGAATGCTTGAGGTTGGTAATATTGGGTTTGCAGCTTCACCATTTGCCTGGTTCCTGAAACATTACTTACTCAGAATCTCCTTAAGCGTGACACATTCATGCGCACACGGTAACCAGGTGTGGCCACTTTCTTAGGAGATTCTTGTCCCTTCCAGAACATTTGGAACTCAGGCAAGCTTCAGGCTTAAATTGTAGCACCCCAGAGAAATCGACCTGTGAGGGGAAGTTTGCTCACCTGCTGCCAGTGCTGTAAATGTTCATGGATAAAGGGGAATTTGATCACAGCTGTTAATCCACAACCTTTTACCAGCACTAAATTCACGTCAAACCTTTTGAAATTAATCTAAAGATGGGCTTTAAAAACAATCCCCAAATCCAGCTGTCCTTTATTAGGGAGTTCCATTACTATTCTGTGGAAATCCATACTGATTCCTGGAGGCTAAACCTGTCAAGGATGCAACTTCATCCCAACTTTTTAAAGGACAAAAATTCAAAATTTTACTGGGGTAAAAGACAGATTCTAGAATTAGTTCCTTTTCAAGGTCAGTCTGCAGCAGATAATTTGATTCTGCTTACAGATAAGCAATGCACTTGATTTTGTAAGCAAAATGGATTCCAGATATAAGTGGTTAAAGATCTTGAGCACAGTCTGACAAACCTGCTGTACTGATTATTTCTATGGTTATAGTACTGCATCTCTGAAAGTCTGTTAATCTTCTGTCCTTTTCCTGCTGAAGGCCTGCAGAGTTCTCACTTGTGGGAATTTGTAAGAGACCTTCTCCTGTCTCCAGAAGAAAATTGTGGCATTCTCGATTGGGAGGACAGAGAACAAGGCATCTTTCGAGTTGTTAAGTCAGAAGCCCTGGCAAAGATGTGGGGACAAAGAAAGCGAAACGACAGAATGACATATGAAAAACTGAGCAGAGCTCTCCGGTGCGTTAATAGGTGAAAATGCCACCACATTACTCATAGTGTGTTATATGAGTCCATTTCACACAATTATATTGATTGCATAGCTTTTTAGTGTATTATCCAAACGTCAAGAGACAGAATCATGGCTCTTTTGGTTACAGATAAGATTACAGGGCCAGATTGTCGCCTGGTATAAATCAGCATAACTCCATGGAAGGCAATGGAGCTATTCTGACTTACACGGGCTGAGAATTTGGCCCATGGCTTGTAATGTGACACTATCTACCTTTCCTTTGCTTTGGCAATAATTCTATTGCTTTGGCAATAATCCTAGCAGTTCATTCTGAACTGTGGTCATCTTAGAAGCAAAAACACACATGCAATGTTTGTTTTAAAAGGAGCAAATTTCACCCTTCATGAAGTCTGGGAAAGCTTTAAACTCTATAATGCAAGCTGATCTGGGGGTGTGAAAATATCCATTTAACAGAAAGAAAGGATTGCTGTTTGATGGAAAACATCAGATTGACTGCTCTGTTATGTTTCTATCGTGTATTACTTGGGAACGATTCCTTTAAAGTAAATACCACTTATGTTTTGTTACTGCAGGTATTATTATAAAACTGGAATTTTGGAACGCATAGACAGAAGGCTAGTGTACAAGTTTGGAAAGAACGCCCATGGGTGGCAGGAGAACAAGCTCTGAACTAACTGTCCCATTCATCAGACTGATTATGCAATCTGCAACATAGTGTCTGACTGCAGTAGACATTTGAGAGAAGGAATTTTTCTCCTGCATCTCTCCTCTACTCCAGTCTGGAGCTGACAACTGTTTCTGAGAGACTGGCCAGAGCAACACATGACAGCACATGAATGGGGTGGCTCTTCCCCACTATATACTTTGTGACCAGCATTAGCTCATGCATAGCTCTTATGAAAATAACACTTGTGATGCAGCTCAAGGTTTTCTTGAGAGGAATTGTTTTTATCTGTGGCACCTCTTCCTATGCCAACAAGGGCTATCTTTTGTTGTTGCCTATCAGCTCTCAGTATGAAATTCTTGCTTCCTGCTGACATTTAAAAGAAGTTGGTGAGGATTTTGTGTGTGTGTGTGTGTGTGTGTGTGTGCGCGCGTGCATGAGCAAAAAGGTTGTTAAATATTTTACAGAACATACGGTCTTTTTTTCCTTCCCTTGGTTAGAAAGTCAGTATTTTGGTTCATTTAGAGACAATACCATTGTGGTCAGCCTGTGTTCCAAGGGTCCGATTCTTAGGTCTGCTACACTCCTTGGTGGTGGAAGATCTGGCCAGATGAGAGTCCCCCCCATATATCCACAGAATTAATCTGTCCAATCAAGCCAGTCATCCATAAGAAAAACAGGGTTTTAAGCACTAATCTGATTTCCTCACTTAGCTACTAATTTGACTTCTGCAAATGTATTTTGCAGATTTTACTGTACATACTATGAATGGTTCATTGCAAGTTTTGTTAATTAGTTGTGATTGATCACATGGTATTAATTCTGTTCCTTGATTGGGTTGGCATAACTCTTACTGCAAGTACTTTTGGTGCAACTATTTATCTATGAACTAAAAATTGACTTTCCACAAACACTTACATGGGAATTTGAACTTTTCTTTCTATGAACCTCCATGAAAGTGAAACTTCAGTGCTTGGGGAAAGTAAGCCTGAAAGGGAGCAAGCATCGTTAGAACAGTTGCAAATGAATATTTGTTGAAAACTGTATAAAAAATTCACCCAAATCTCTACAGAGAATGGCTGAGAACTTCAAAGCAGTCTACAGCATAGAGCCACACATCTTTTATTAAAGTTAATGTGTAGCTAAATGCCCTTGACTGCTCAGATTTCAACCAATGGGTACATTTGTTAGAGTAGAAGGTAGTATCTGAACAATTCAATGATATTTTTGAAAGCTTCATAGATGTACTATAGTTTAACAAAAATATTGCCCTTTCCACCTCAAGGGCTCAGGAATCCCCTTTTAGTACTACCTCAGGTGGCATTTTGAGAGTATAAATGAGGTTCTGGTCTTGTTTTCAAATGAGTCGCTCTTCTGCGTGTTTCTCTGTGGAACCTGAATGTAGTGCTGTGTGTTATCATTACTTTCCCTTTCACACATGAGTCTGTTTCTTTTTTACTGGTAACAATTTTTCCTTTTGTTCATAAAGACTTGGGTGGTGGTCCCATTAGTCAGGATTAGCCAACTAAGTAAGCACCAAGCTAAATGCTGCAATGCTGTTTAGGTTGGTGCTGTGCTCAGGATCCTGGGAAGTCAATGTGGAGCAGTATGGATTCAGTTGACTGTAGTAGCCATTGGAGATGCGCTTCTTGGGCTTGACCCCTGCTACAGGATGCAAGATCAAGCCCTAAGGGTCACAAGAGAAATTCCTCTCACTTTGTTTCCCAGCTTCCTTCAGAAATTGTGTATCTTTGTGAATGGATTCCTGTTGTTGCAGTTATTCAAAGTAGCGTTTGTTTTTATTTTGGTTAATTGCTATGTACGTTTTGAATAGGCGGGATAAGCCCTTCAGAGAGACAGATAGGGTATGTATCAAAGTGGTATCAGAAAGTTTGAGTGCTGCCAGTTACTGCTGCTGCCCATCACTTAGCAAGTGAGAGCACTTTGCAGAAATAGAATATCATCATGGTGTATTCATGGCCATGACAAGGGCATTAAACCTAGATTCTAAAAAACCCTCATTTTAGGACCAAAAAAACAATATGCAGCTGAAGGTTGAACATTTTTAAATGCAATCTAAATTTTACAAGTATTTCACACAATGAAAATATTATGATCAGGCTTCCTGGCCAATGCTAATACAAGCAGAGTTTTCTACATCTTCACAAGTGGCAGAAACAGCTCAGGCATTTTCTAGTCGGGCACCGTTAAGTCATCCCTGGCAGAATCTATTCAGAAGTACTGTATAATCCTCATTTCCATTAGACTAGCACCAGCGAAGAAAAATCAGTGAGATCAGAAGCACTGAAGTGCAGTATGGAGTAAGAAGCACAGATGTGAAATTTTACTGTAAATGTGTTTTTAAAATGTGAATTACTGTAAAATATCTATTTTTGGACGGTGTATCTTTTCCAACTCTTGTAGTTTGTAAACAATGAATGAAATATTTAATATGTAAGATATGTGGCTTTGTTAGTTTTTTGGTTGGGGGTTGGGTTTTTTTGGTAACTCATGTCAATGACGCACAGCATGCCCATAAACCTCTATTAGCTGAAACAAATGTTTAACAAACCGAGGCAAGCCATGCCAGAGATACCGCTGTAGACCAAGGTGCCCTTCAGTTGCTTTTGCAATTCAATTTATGATTTGAAGACTATGGCTGAACTACAACCCTAGATTACGCTTACATGCACATGTAGCAAGAGCCTGAGACAGACATTTGAAATAGTCCATTATGGTGCCCATTAGGGCATTACGCTTTGCCGTTCAACTATAGCACATACATGTTAGTAAAAGACCGACAAATGTTCTAAGACAGAGGTAGTCTATTATTTCTTTTGTCAAGGTCCAAATTTTCTTGGTCAAGGTTCAGACTCCAGAGAAAATAATTTAAAAAATAACAATAATGATAAGTAAATAAAAAGATTTCAGGGTCCATTCAAAAGCGTCTGATGGACAAGATTTGGCCCGCAGTCCACCTATTGACTACCCCTGTTCTAAGTTTTACCTTAATAATGTTTACTCAAGCTCCATATTCACTGGGGTTGGCTCTCATGCACCCCATAGGCATATACAGTGGGCAGGGCTGTTGCCCCATCGAGGGTGGTAAGTCTATGTTTACGTTCGATAGCAGTACCACAGTACAGCTACTGTACAGGAGTGCTGCTTCATGAAATTACCTCACTTGCTGAACAAACATCTGGGCGAGTAAAACACTCTAAAGCTTGTCTACCCTCAAACAGTTTCTAAAATTTCAGGTGAATTAGACTTTTTTTTAATCATACAGAATTGATTCATCAGAGAGTCAGGTACGTACTGCCATTTGAGATGCACGTTAAGGTTATATCGTTAACTGGTATGCTGAACACACATTGTAAAGCATTTTATAAGGGGAGTGGCTGTTTGGACAGAGGAGAAACTGCCTGCTAGAAGAGAGAGAGTCTTAAAGAGCCTCAGCAGGTATAAATTGTGATATCTCCACTGGCATCAATGGGACTATAAAAATTTACACCTGCAGAGGTTCTGCCACTTAGAGAGCTGCAAGTTAACATTGCAGGTAGTGCTCTCACCTCAGATGTGTCTGACAGAGCTACAGCTCTTCAAACAACTCATAACTGATACATTCTTTATTATGCACAGTTTTCGGACACACCCAAGACAACTTTGAACGACAGAGGTATATTAGAAATAACTCCATTGAATCAAGTGGCATTATACCAGTGTGACCAGAATCAGGCCCACAGACTACACAACTGAAAATGCAAGTAATTTTGTACTAACATACATACATTGTACATTCATTTCCAGAGGAATCAATTTTAATTACTTTCAAATACATTACTCTGTGGAAACTAATGTGAAGCCATAAAGTTTTAAGCAGCAGGGTATTGCCTTCCTTTATACCTCACAGTTTACTTCTGTTTTAAAACTGCACACCCTGGCTAATATTTATTTTTGACAATACTGATTGATATTTAATTATATTGAGAATTATAATAATGCACAAGATCCTTTTAGTAATTTCAGCTGCAGAATCAGACCAATGAATAAAGAGGAATTAAAACAAAGTCTTATGATAATTAGATGCACTGAATTTAATTTCCAAAAGTAAACAAAAATCATTTTGGCCCTAAATTGAGATTGCCCAAATAGATTAATTAGTAATAGCCTATAACACTAGGTTATTAGATTCAATAACCTTGAATAGCAAATGTAAGCATAATTTTGTATTACCACATCAAACCTGTAGACGTGCTACATTTGGTAATGCCTTGGATGGCTTAATCTCCAGCTGGATGAATGTAAAATCCATGGACTAATCTTGAGTCTCAGTTTACAAATTAGATCTTTCCTTTGTAGACATGTGAGATGTAGTTTGCATGTGTGTGTGTTCTAATCACATCCTAAAAAAAAAAAAGTGAAATTGTGCCCAAATTAAGTTATGAAAGAAGAATAATTAATACAAATTCTATTAAAGTTTCTTAAACTTGAGTGCAGTCAAGTCAATGATACTTGAAAGAAAATAACCAGTGCTCATTTAGAGCACAGCACAAATGAAACATTTTATTTGGTAACTCTAATCTTGTCCTCTTGCCTTTATGGAATTTTAGGAGGTAAGGTTATCATGTGCTAAGCAAACTACAACACTTGCAATAGACATGAACACCATCCAGACTATAAAAATGCTAAAATTAAGTCCTTGTAAGGAACAATCTAATTAGCACTGAGTCCAGCAGTTAGTGATATTCTTTCATTGTATGACTATCCAACCTGACCTGTGCTCATTTTAAAAAAAAAAATGAATTTTAAAATTAAATTCTGCTAAGATGGAGAGTTCTAAAATAAGCTTAGATATTCAGCCAAAGCCTCGTTAACCAGAAACAACCATCCCTAACATGCAATGCCGAAGCGAAAAAAACGTATTTGTCCAACAGAGCTTGAATACAGGCTCCAAAATCAGAAAGAATATCAGTGAAGCTTTTCACCTGAAATGGCAAGGCAAAGCAAGACAAGACTTCCATTTTTCCATTTCAGATTCTCTTAGTTCTCATCTCCACTACAAGGCCTGCAACCAATCCTGTTTGGAATCTATTAAATCAGAAGCGTGATCAACACTTCCCCCAATGAAGCACTGATTTTCAATCTCAGGTTTCTATTAAGTCACGTAGGCTGATATTCTGACCCCTAGAAAATGGAACAAACTCCCCAAATGTGTTTTCCATGGGGGAAGAGGGAGCAGGTGGAGTACAGAGCCACTACTACTCTTAGTACTGAATACTGGAGCCTCAGAGATACAGTAGCATCCAAAATCTC